TATTTATTTATTTTTAGAGAGGGTAAGGAAGGGAGAGGAACCAATGCGTGCTGGCCTCTCCTGTGCCCCCTACTGGGGACAGGGCCTGCAAGCCAGGCATGTGCCGTACATAGATTGGGAATCGAACACGTGACCCTTTGATTCACAAGCTGGCACTCGGCCACTGAGCCACACCAGCCAAGGCTAGTCATATATGAAAATTTAAAGGTACTTATTTAAGAAAAAAATCAAAAGTATGGACAATAACATGGCAATAAATACATATCTATCAACAATTGCATCTAAAAACAAACTAAGGAAACAAGAACAGAGACAGAATCATGGATACAGAGAGCTTTTTGATGGTTGCCAGATGGGAGCTGGGGGTGGGGGAATGGGTGACAAGGTAAGAAGATTAATACATACAAATAGGTAGTTACAGAATAGCCATGGGGATGCCAAGTACAGCATAAGAAATGGAGTGGCCATAGAACTTGTACACATGACTCATGGTGTGAATAATGGTGTGGGGATTATCTGAGGGAGTCGAGGTGCTGGGTGGAGGGGGGCAAAAGAGGATAATTGGGACAACTCTAATAGCATAATCAATAAAATATAATTTAAAAATAAAATAAAAATTGTTCATTTCTGCTTTAAGGACAAAAGTTGCCATTTTGCTCTGATATGTCACACATATAATGAATTATTTGTTTTGAATATATATAATCATGATTCAATAGTAATTTGGTGAACTAACTCATAGTATTTAATAATAAAGATAAGGCAGCAAAAAAGAAAATATTCAGGACCCTTTGGATATGGTAACAGTAATAGTAGTAGTAGCAGTTTTTATAATAATGATAATGATAATAATAATAATCAGCAACGATTACTGGTCTCAGGTGTTTCAATTTGCCAAGCAACACACTACGATCTGTGTAATACATCCAGGTCCTACATGAGAGTCAGCTTTTCAAATATGTGTAAATTCCTTAGCTGTAGAAGTAAATTTAGTTTCTATAACTGCATACCAGGTTAGTTACACAGTAGTTTTTTGACATGAGGTTGGGGTTTTTTTTTTTTGTTTTTTTTTAAACTCTGCATCTGCGTACATCAGAGTACCACCTATGTGAAGAGCTTTTCACATAGTAAGTCATGAAACCTACAGTGAGATCAGCATCACTAATTTAAAGTGAGGTACGCCAACATTTAAATTAGTCTTTCTTTGTGTCATTGTCCTTCTTCCCTTTGCTGTGTCTCCTGTATCTGTCCCCCACCTCTGCTGTCCCACTGATGCATGTGACTAAGTTAAAAAGGCCTACAGTGCTGCCACACTCCCAGACATTAACATTCAGTCTGCACCATCATGCTCTGAGGTATCATTTTTCCCATTACACATGTGAGAAAACTGACCCTAAGACAGCATCAATACCTTTCCCCGGAATACACAGCATAGATGATAGACAGATAGATGATAGACAGATAAATGAGAGATAGAAATATAGATGATACATTGAATAAATAGATAGATGACACCCAAATTCCCACCTTTGCATATGCCAGTTGTAACTGTAGGTCTGTGGGGTGTGAGTACTTCCTCTCCCCTCACACACTGTAATAGCATTACGACAATAGGTCAGAGATGCTCCAGCGAACCACTGACTTAAGTTTCCTCCAGCAAGGGCTTATTCAGTGTGAAAGATAAAAAGGCAAGGAGCTTCAAGTAACAAGGAGTGTGTCTGTGACAGAAGTAGTAGTTCTACAAGTGTTCGAAACACAGCTCTTTAAATGAGTGAGACATTAAGGAAAGGCCTTGTGGAGCAAGGGCCCAACCCAGAACCCAAAAAGTGAGCTTAAACTAGGAGACAAGGTGAAAGAGCTAAAGGAGTGCATGGACTACTAGGGGTCAGAGTGCAACAGAAAAGAAATGGAAGGTTAACAGGAGTACTTGGAATTTTATATTGCAATCTTTCAGTATCTCTGCAATGCTTTGAATGGGAAAGCTTTGAAAGATATTAATAATAAAATAAGGATCTGACAATAATGTATACTTGGATTCCTAAAGGAGAGATAGGAAGCCCATAATAAAAACAATGACGCAGCAAGAGTTCTCACTAGATTGGTAGGTGTAAAACTGGAAGGTTGGAACAGATCTGAGGTCTATTTTATTTGCACGCCGCTTTATTAACTCATGTGTGGACGTGTACCACCATAAATCTTCCTGAAGTGTTCCACTGCCAAGGCAGGCATCACCAAAGATTAGAAAGTAATTTAACTGCTGTTGCCTTCTTTGAGCAGACCCATAATAATATGTGTTGCTAGGTTATTACACTTTAGGTGTTTTCCTTCATGTGGTGAATAACTCTACTTGGCTTTATAAATAACATCCAACAGTTGTCTCGTGACCCCATAAATGAGTTATTAGCCATAAGGAATAATGTAACCCAAAGAAAGCTACAAGTACAATTTATGTCCAACTTAATACCAGGAATGGAATAGCAAGTTTCTGTGAACTCATTTCAACTATATCAGGTTCAACAGATAAACTCACTTTTAAGAATGAAAAACTTCAAAAATATTTTATAAAATATTATAACTGTTATAATTATTTCATTTTAAGAGGAAACATGTCACTGTTTATTTCTTTAATTGGCCCTTAAAAATACATTGTCACTGGGGTTATTGAAGACCACATAAGAATATAAGCACTAGGCAAATATGTAGCATATACTTTAAGGAGCAGGGTTCTTGAGTTTTACATTTTCTGTCAACCACTGTGAAGCATTTGTGTCATTTTTTCAATAAGTATTCTAGAATGCTGAACACTTTCTGCAATTGTATGTATCTCCTAGTTATTTTCAGGATATTTGAACCAAATTAATACTTCCAAGTATATACCACAATACCAAGGCGTAGTGAACTGAAATGGCAAAATAGATATATAGATTTTAATCATTTTGATGACTCACAAAATTATCAACTTTTACAGCTTCCCAACAAACTTCAAATAGAATCGCTCAGTTCACTTCATTATGATAAACGTTCACCTGCTGCTTAGCCTGATGCAAAGACTTTATAGAGTTAAAATATTAAAGAGAATAGGTTATATATATAAAGGAAAAACTGCATAGATTGTTCCCTTACTTCCTCTGTAGGAGGACACATGCTATTAAGATTTCATGAAATGTACCAAGTAATGAGTTTCTGGGTGATTTTTATGTTTTTAAAAGATGTATTTGAGAAATGCTGGATTAAGGTTTTATAGGATTTAAGCAATGAAAATAAATCTCTTCACATTTAATCTTATATAAAACCCAAATTTGACATACACTGTTAAACCATAAGATAAGTATAAGGAAGTCCAAAAGTATTTTGATTTTTGCTATAATTATTTATTTTAGTAAAAAACATATTAAGTACTAATTTTAAAAAATTAGGTACCCTGCTTTGCTGATATCCTGGATATATTTTCCCATTTTCTCACCTATTGCAAATCTAACAGTCAATTTGATTTTCTAGTAATTCCTCCCTAGGTCTAATTAATCTAATATAAAGAAAGCATTCACAAGTCATAGGTCCTTTAGGTAGGAAAGCACTGAAATATTCAAACACCAAAGGGTCCAATGTACACACTTTACATTAAAACTTAACACTAATTTCACTGACTAGGACTCAACTCAAAATTATCAGCAATACCAACTATAATCCCTACATTTTTCTCATTGTCACAGTGTCTAAATATTTTAGTTTTTAGTCCTCGGTAAAGATTTTCATAAGTACTATAGAAGGAATACAAACTAAGTAAGAAGACAAAGTTTGGACTTATTATATATGCATTTATTGATTACTAAATATCAGGTACTGTATTAAAAAAATTAGAGATATAAATTATTATTACCATATTATTCACCCCTGGCTTTCGTGGCTCAGTGGACTGAGTGCCAGCCTGCGAACCAAAGGATTGCCAGTTCAATTCCCAGTTAGGGCACATGCCTGGGCTGTGCACCAAGTCCCCTGTAGGGGTGTGTGAGAAGGGTGTGTGTGAGAAACATCGAACCGCACATTGATGTCTCTCTTCCTCTCTCCTTCCATTCCTATCTCTCTAAAGATAAATAAATAAAATTTAAACAATAATAATATATTATTCACTCCCTCGTGCCCTTATTTATATAATGAACTTTGTAATTAATAAAGTATTTTCAAAATGCATTGAAAATTGCCTATTTTTGCTACTTTCACAGGTAAGAATTTTCATTTATAGTTCACAATGTTTTTAAAAGAACATTATTTTGTAGAATTATTAGCAAAAATGTTATGCCCTAATATTATAAAAAATGGCAAAATAGACTTCAGTGTTACAAAACAAAAAGTAAATAAAATGTTCTAATATTTAAAAGATAAGAGTTTATATCAAAGGTGATTTAACACTATTGGCTTAGACATTATGAAATAATGTGTTTTTGGTAAAGAAGCAGCTCCTTGCTGAGGTTTATTTAATTAAAAAACATAAAATGTCTATTCTCCTAACTAAATATGCTTAACATTCTTGCTTTATTTTTATGTAGTATCTTATCTTGTGTTCTCTTCATGCAGACTTCCCTTATCTCTAAAAATATAAAAAAATCCTATCCTCATATAGAATTTTTATCATGAAATTTAGATTTGTATAACCATTCTCTCTGTTGAATAGAAAGTTAGCATTATAAAGGTGAAAAGAAAATTCAGTGTTGGAAAACCACATTCTATTTTATAAATTAAGAGCTAATACTTCAAGATACCAAAATAACTAAATACTAAATTTAAGACAGAGCTCTCTCTGTAATAGAACTATACATCTCTATTTGATTCCTTATATGTGATGACAAACATAACATACACTTTGAATAAAATTGTTGAAGGAAATACATAATTAAAATATATTATTGCTGCTTGACATTATTAATCCTTGACCATCAAAAAAAATTTCAGTAAATCTTTTGGCAATCTACCAAAAGTAATAATTAATGAGAAAAGGGACTTACATGATCAATTAGTTCACGGACCATTCCATTCCATTGTCCATTGGCATCATCCTGGGCTCCATATTTCCCATCCTCCACAAGTCTAATTTCATATGTAAAGCCAAGGATTGTAGATAACTCTCTGAGAAGGTCAATGCAGTAGCCCTCAAATCGATCATTCCCATAGAGTGGTTTGTCAGACTTCTTAAAAAGGACATAGGGTTCTTCCTGGGAACAGTGAACATGAAGGTAGAAGGTATCAATTAATCATGAAACTTACCATCAGAATAATAGCTTTCCTTAAAAATTTTCACCTTTATTTATTATATGAATCAATGGTATTTTTCTAATTGAAATTCATAGTTTGAAATACTGATAAGGCAGATACTTAGGAATATATGTGCTGTGCAAAATAATATTCAACTATAATAATTTTACCTTATAATTAAACACAAAGCTATATATCCTCACTATATAGCTTATTTCACATATAATATATAATATGGCATACTATATACTACATGATACATGTAGATATACCTATATAGAAATATATAATATATATGAATATACTTTCACCATCATTACAACACCCCAATTTGATTTATACCATTTAACCAATATCTTGTGTGCTATATTACAGTGAAATGTACTGATGGAAGAATAAAGTAAAAGTCATTGTCTAATTACCTACCATGTACTAAGAACTGGAGTATATTCTTTGATATACATTATTACATTTTTTCTAACCACCACGAAAATTATTACTATAGGTAATTATAGGAGAAAAAGTAGTGGCTAATTTTAGAATACATTTTAAAATGCTAGTATTTATCAAGAACATGTGCATTCATATGACATTTTATAAGCCACTTATTACGAGGCAGCCTCCCTTATATTAAAAAAGAACCCCTAGTCATGAAGTTCATGATACGGAGAAGAAAACCAGTAACAGGTGCCTGAACAAACAGAACGCATAACCTTAGATGTCAGTAATAGTAGGGAAACATAAACAGAGCAACAGGATACACAACAACCACAAGACACTTGGCAGGATAAGGCACAATTGAATAGTAGGTGTGGAATTATTTTCTGAGGAGATGAGAAATGAGGTAAAATTTAAGAAAAAAAGACCAAGTGTCTAGCCACTTAGAAATCCGAATGAAGGGCATTTCAGGCCAAAACACAGCAGTAAAAATCCCTGAGACCAATGTGACACTGGACTGATCCAGAGAGAGAACAGCCGTCTGTGAAGGAATTAGACAAACTAAAAAACAACAATAACAAAATAACTCATAGACACAGACAACAGTATGCTGATTAGGACTGTACTTATAGAGGTCATTTTTCAAGAAAGGTTAAATAATTTTCTCAGGCCATATAGTTATGAAGAGATACAGACAGCTGTAAAGAGGAAAATAAGAGATTTTAATTGAGGTTATTTAAATTCTAGGATACATACTTTTCCTACTATTTTATATTACATTCTATATCATCAGATCATTTGTAAAATGTCCATATATGCTAAATTTTTTAATACAATTGTGCCAAACACCTAAAAATCCGAAATTAATCTGTAACTAAATTCAAAGCTAGATATTTAGGTTTGCCATAAGGTAAAGAACAGTTAGGATCCTTTCTGCTGTTTGTGTGCTGTGTGATCCCTTGTGAACTTGAATCCCCAGAGGTACACAGAGTACTACAAATGTGACAGGGACGACACTCTTGCACCTTAGGAGCTATTATATCCATGTCTCCTCTGCTCCTTGCAGTCTCCTCTAGTCTTTCAAGTGAACATGATTCCACTGATCACAGCTCAAATATCCTTGTAACGTTGGAAAGAGGAATTACTGTCACCAAACAGCTTTCCTGTGCTGAGCATTTACACTTCAGGCGTGTTCACGTGTCTCTTTTTTCTGCTTATCCCACACAATTTTTTAATTCTTTTACCATGATAATTACCATATTGAATAGTAAGATTTAGATGTATATCTCCTGAACTAGACTTGCACCATCTATGTGGCAAGACAATTACTTAAATTTTCATCAGTAGTATAAGGCATCACCAGGCAAAGAGCAGGCTTACAAATAAAATGACTGAATAGTGAATTAAATGGAATTGTATTGCTCTGGTCAACTGGGGAAAACAAAGAAACTTGAAGAAAAAAATTATGAGAGGTTGGTTCCCCTGTGTGGTTCTAGTATAGTAACAAATCCTCAGGTACTTAACCCATGAGCAGAGGGTTAGAGAATTGAGAATTCTCTACAGCAATTAGAGAATTGCTGTAAGAACACAGCATTTTCACCTGCTGAAGATAGCCTGAGAATTTAGGGCTGGTGGAATGAGAATCAAAAGAAGCATGTTGGTACCATAGATGAATTCTATTGACCTCATACTTTGGTTTCAGTTATTTTACGATTTATAAATAAATGAATGTATATACTTTCAATTTAAAAGTCACAAACATTAGCTATTTGTTAAGCTCCTACACTAATAACATCATCTAATATCTTCCAAGCACTTATTTTATGCCAGGGCCTAGTCTGAGTGCTTTTCTTGGATTAATTTATTTATTCCTCATTCGAACCATGTGTGGTCGGTAATATTATTATTTCTATTTTACAGATGAAGTAACTGAGGACAAGGGCACTAAGTATTTTGCCTAATCTTAACAACAGGTAGCACACAATTCAGGGAGTCAGACCGAAAGACCACTTACTACCACATTATAATCCCCACATTAAATGATTCCTAGTGAACTTTTCTGAACCTCATGTGAATGCATAATTGCACATAGCTCATTAAACAGCTTAATGTGTACTGTATGAATTTATTATTTTTTTTCAGTCAACTAAGATTAGCCATTGGTCTATGCTGCGTGCAAACTTCATTCTACATTTATTCAAACAATCAAGACAACAATGTAGAAGTAAATACATAATCCAGAAAATTCATTTTCTATATCACAACTTATGTTTTTTCCAAATAAAAATACATGTTTTAACATAAAAGTAAGTAATTTATGAAAATAGCATATTTTAAATCTCTCAGATTAGGTAACAACACATAAGTGTCTAAAAAAGTTCCTATTTTCCTATTTGTACGTTAAATCACCATCATCTTTATTTTAAAATTTTCCCGCAAATACTTATGATATATTTTTCATACATATTCATTTGAAAACTAGGGGAAAACGATAAAAGCTTCTGATTACTAGAGTGCATGAGGCATGGAAGGGATGTGTGTGTACAAGGTAAAAAGCAGAGCAAAATTTCAAGAATTATTATGCTATTTAAATATCATTAATCTAGCTTTTAGTAGCAACCATTTGACCTATTAATTTGATTTTCTTCACCTATAACCTAGTAAGAAAACTGTCATAGGCAAATAAATTTGTTGATCCCTGTGAGATTAAAAAGTCTTTAGATATACATATTTTTAAAACAGACTTTTCTTATCACATAAAAAATTATGTGGTCTGAGTGCATCTTTTTAGTATTTATGGTACTGTACAATGTCAAATACCATTCCTCCCATATTTAATTCTGATAAGTACAACACAGTTTTGCAGCTGCGATTCCTATCTCCAGTTACACTGTGTCACAAGGTAGTTTACGTCGTGCTATGACTCTCCTTTAGACTCTCTCACTCTGCTTCACACAGCACAGGATAAATAATGACCTCGTGTAAGAAAAGAAAAATTGTACCAGAAGCAATTACTGTACCACATATTGAGTTCAATGAATAATATGATAAAACTCTCCTGGGCAACTTCATACAGTCTTTCTCATACAGTCTTAAATCTCGACATCAGCATTTGCTAGAGGTAAAAGCACTTCATTCTACTGGCATCTGTAATAAGGATTTGTCAGCATTTCCACTATCAACCCTGGTTTTAAAAAACCCAATAACTCATATTTTTTATCTGCATTACATGGGGAGTTGTCACAGAATAAACTTAAAATTAAGTTCTAAAAAAGTGAAATATGTTTTAAGGTTCAGGGTAACAAAATGTTTGATTTAAATGTAATAAAACTTTATGATTATAAGTGTATAACTCATATACCTCTCAGCCCATATCTTTAGAGAAGTAAATTATCCGTTTCATTCATTAACCCTTAATATATCATCTTATCCATGATATTCAAAAGCAAGGACATAAAAATACAAAATAATTTTATTGATATCTATAAAATATCTCTTGCTACTGCATTAATAAAGCTAATCTAATGTATTTATTCAAGCATATGTTGAGCTCCAATCACATACCAGCACTCTTATAGTCTTCAGAGGTATAACAATGAAAAACTAAAGAAAACAATACCTAAAAATTTCTGCTCTAATGGAACACCCAATGTAGTGATGAACTGGAAAGTTGTATCTATTTCATATAATCCTGTATTATTTATATGACTACTCTGTCTCATTAGTTATTAGAATGGAATATCACTTCAGGATACATTTCTAAGAAACACAAACACAACTGTGTATCTTATTGCAGAACATTTTGGTGAATCATAGGACTACAACACTGCGGCATTCAAATCTTTCATTTGGAGAAATATATATGGATATTCAGTTAGCCCAGGCTGTTTCTGAGTTTACCCTTATGGTCAGAAAACTTAGAAAAATTACTTTGTGGCAACCAGCTAAAATTCAAACTGCTTATGGGTAACAATATCCTCAATTAAGAACAGTATTTAAGTATTTATATTTTATGCATCTATGCTGTTAATGACTCAATTTTTCCTTAACAAAGACAGGATTGACATAAACCAATTGACCAAACAAAAAACACCTTTTTTTTATAGCATTCCTATTTTCATTGGGTCCAATGAAAATAAAGTTATGGGCCTTAAAAGTTAAAAATGAGCAATTTATATTTTCCTGAGAATGATTTATTGCTTTCCACTTTCTGAATCTTATGTACATACCCTTTATATCCTAACACCATCCCAACAGCATTGCGTAATAACTAATGATGGAGCAACTTAGGTTTCAAATAGTGTGAAGATCAAGTTAGGTGCTAATGAGTTGATTACAAGTAGAAAGCTAGTGAACGAACAACATGAAGGGCAAGGACAATGGTGCTGCTCACGTTGCCTCTTCAGGAAGGTGAGTTAGCTCTTTAAAACTATAGAACTCACACCTTAACATGAGAAAACGCTAAAAAGTAAATAAATAAGACAGATCTGAACCTAATGCACTACAATGGTCAAGAGAACAC